GGGCACAGACAAACTCTGGTCAAAAGAACATATTGTATATAATGAGGAACTGTTCAAGGTATAAAAAATGAAGGCATGAGGGACAACAAAAATAGCTGGTTGAAGTATCTATATGTCTCATCATTTCCTACAAAAAAAAAATTGTATGTATACCATCTCTTATTATGCCATACTCTTCCTTCCACTGATTACTACTGGCACCAAAAAAAGTTCCAACTGTGAAGACACGAGTGGTGCACCTCCCGCACACGGTCAGTGAGCCAACCGCACCATATCAGCAAAATGTGTTTTCCATTACTTGTGCACAGTGCTCAGACTGTCACCAACGGCCAATACCGACCAGCACTCATTAGCTCACCTTTTTACTCTATATATAGTGTAACTAAGGAACTTGAAAATATAATGTGAAAGTTCATTGTTGAGCTTCTTCTTGCTTTCGCTATTTCTCTTTGCTAACCTTTTGCAGGTTCATCATGGTATCAGAGCCAAAGTAACTCCCTCCTCCTCCTGTCGCAATGGACGAACAAGAGTCCTCCTCCGCAGCGCCTCCATCTTCTCTTCTGGCTTCGAGGCCATAACCTCTCCCAACTACGACAACAAATGAGACCACCATACCTGCTTCACTCAAGTTCCTAATGACGAACTTAAAGCTTCTCATTCCCAATCAGCCCACTAGTGAAAACTATCCAATCCGGCGGCACCACATCCATCAATTGTTCATTGCAAATGGTTACGACGGACATTTATCCGGCAGCACCGTCAAACCGACACTTCTCCCCACCGGAGCAAACTCGACAGAGGTTCGACTCTGGAACCTCGTCGAACAGAATCTAGTTTCAGCCTTACTCTCCACCATTTCCCCTGCCGTGCTGCCCTACATTCTCACACTCAAGTCGGCCAGTGAGATCTGGTCCATGCTCGAACTGCGTCTCCAGCCAACCAATCGGTCGCGTGTGATTCAGCTCAAAAATGAGCTATATCATGTTCAGATGAGGGACCTCTCCATGGTGCAATACTTAGCCAAGATTAAATCCCTTTTGGATAACATTGCGGCGGCCGGGTCTCTCCTAGATCCCGAAGAGATCATTCTGCATATCCTAAACGGATTACCACCCTACTACAACCCGTTCAAGACGTCCATTCACACCAACCAACTACCAATTAACCTGGACATACTTTACACTCAGTTATGCATCGAGGAAATACACCAGCAATCCGAAATAAACAGGGAGCTAACGCCGACGTCCGACAATGCGGCCCTCTACGTCTCTCGCAACAACACCTCTCGTGGTCGATCATCTGCTCAAGGCTCCAGGGGAAGAGGAGCTCCCTTCAGACCAAATGCTCCCTTCAATCGTCCAACGGGTAATTCGTCTCGACCGACCTGCCAAATTTGCGGCAAGCAGGGTCATGTAGCCTCGGCGTGCTGGCATCGCTATAATTCATCTTACAATCCAGCCTCAAACCCCGCGCCCAGAGCATTATTTACTGGCCCTCCGTCGACCTCACATAACGATTGGGTTTTGGATTCAGGTGCCACTGCACACCTCACACCAGCAGCCTCACATCTGCTCAACTCCAATCAGTATTCGGGATCAGACACCATCTCGACGGCGAATGGCAGCTCACTTCCAATTCACCACACTGGCCAAGGCCTTCTTCCACTCCCAGACTCCAACCGTAAGCTCTATCTACACAAATTACTTCATGCCCCTCTCCTCTCTCATAATCTTCTATCGATTCACAAACTAACTAGTGATAATAACTGCTCTATTTCATTCGACTCCACTGGATTCCAAATCAAGGACCTCCTGGACAACAAAACACTCATCCGTGGACACTGCCGTGATGGCCTCTACTCTATCTCCTCTTCCCCAACCACCTCTCAGCACAGCAATTTACGCACTCTACATTCCACCACCACCACTTCAGCAACTTGGCAAGCACGGCTTGGTCACCCCAACATCAGGACACATCAACTTCTCTCCAAAGCATTTCCCTCTTTATGTATTCCCTCTTCTTCTAGTCTTTGCATCTCTTGTAACGTGGCTAAAAGCCATAAGTTATCCTTCTCCCTTAGTTTTACTCGTGTAATAAAACCTTTAATGTTAGTACACTCTGATGTTTGGGGTCCGTCCCCCGTTCCCTCAAAAAATGGCTATCGCTACTATCTCCTCTTCATCGACGACAATACCCGATACACCTGGATCTATCTAATGCATACAAAAGCTGAAACTCTAACTAACTTTAAAAACTTCCATGCCTTAGTTCAAAACAACTTTAATTCAAACATACACACGTTGCACTCGGATGGGGGAGGAGAGTATACAAGCCAACTATTTAAGGACTATCACTCTACTAATGGAATCACCCAACAGTTCTCTTGTCCTCACACTCCCGAACAGAATGGTATCGCCGAGCGCAAACATCGTCACTTGCTCGAGATCACATGAGCCCTTCTACATCAAGCTAACCTTCCTCATTACCTGTGGGTCGACGCTCTCCTCACTGCCAATTATCTCATCAACCGCCTACCCTCCAAAAGCATTCAAAACCAAATCCCATATCAACTCCTATACAATCAACCTCCCAACTACTTCTATCTTAGAAGGTGCTTATGCTTCCCATGACTGCAACCAATGACCCCGTCCAAGCTACATCCACGGTCCCAAGAATGTGTCTTCGGCTATTCCCCTTCACACAAAGGCTATCGATGCCTCAACCTGAAAACATCCAAACTCCACATTTCCTGGCACATTATCTTTCATGAAATAACCTTCCCGTTTCATCATCAGCTCTCTTCCCCACCCACGCTAATTCCATCCCCGCCCCTGTATACCTCCCTATCCCTACTTCTACCAACTTCTACAACTACCGCACAGCCTACATCCATATCACTCCCTGCTTCGATTGGCCCATCCACTCCTAACTCCCGACATACCCCACCATCACTCACCCACTCCTCTTCATCACAATCACCACTCTCCCAATTACACCCCGATCCTCCAGCAGTCGAACAACCGGCTATCCCTCCAGCTCCTCACACATCCACTCACCCTATACAAACCAGGCTCAAGTCCGGCATTCACTGTCCCAAACAAGTACTAGACCTTCTCACCCTCACCAATTTCACATCCACTCCCTCCACCTATACTCAGGCCTCACAATTCCCTCATTGGCGAGCTGCCATGTCCAACGAGTTCATAGCACTTAAAAAACAGGACACCTAGTCTCTCATTCCACCTCCCTCGAATAACACCATACTCGGCTGCAAATGGACATTTAAGATCAAACATAACCAAGACGGATCGGTCGAGAGATACAAGGCAAGACTCGTGGCTCAAGGGTTCAACCAGAAGTATGGCATCAATTACCGGGAAACCTTCAGTTCGGTAGCGAAAATGCCTACTATACGGATCCTTCTCCTCATCTCCCTGCATTTCAGCTTGCCGACCCTTCAATTCAACATTTCAAATGCCTTCCTCAATGGGGACCTTCACGAGGATATATACGTGAAGCAGCCGCCTGGGTTCATCGACAAAGATCTTTCTGGTCACGTCTGCAAGCTGCATAAGACCATTTATAGCCTGAAATAGGCCCCGAGGGAATGGTACAATAAGTTTACCAACTCCCTCCTTGAATTCGGCTTTCAGTTCAGCAAGGCCGACCCCTCCCTGCTCACCTACAACAAAGCCAACACCAAGCTATTCCTTCTAATCTACGTTGACGATCTCCTCATTACAGGCAATAAACAAACCACCATAAACAAGCTTCTACATTACCTGAACCAGCTCTTCTCCCTCAAGCAGCTGGGACCGATCTCGCAATTTTTGGGCATTCAGGTCTCCAGAACTTCAACTGGCATACTCCTTCATCAAACCCAATATGCTCTAGATTTGGTTACCTCCGCCGGTCTGTAACACAGTAAACCAGTCCTCACACCTGTAGCTCTCAGGTCTACTCCGACAGCAGAAAGCTCTGCTCCGTATCCTGATCCTTATCAATACATGCAACTGGCAGGATCTCTGAATTACCTGACCATCACTAGACCTGATATCTCCTACGCAACCAACTGCATTTGTCAAAAGATGCACTCTCCCACCATGGATGACTTTACCGCTCTCAAGTGCATGCTTGCTCTACTACATCCAAGGCACTACTACCTTCGGCCTGCCCCTACATCCAAGCTCTCTCCAACTCACCGCCTATTCGGATGCAGACTAGGCGGGAGACACTCATGACCGCAAATCCCTTATAGGATTCTGCACATACCTTGTCAAAAGCTTAATCTCCTGGTGTGTAAAGAAACAAGCCACGGTCGCCAAATCGTCCACTGAAGCGGAATACAGAGCTCTCTCCTCCGCCACCTCCGATGCCATTTGGCTTCGGCGACTGTTAGTAAACATTCATGTCGAGCTGGACAAACCTACTCCAATCTATTGCGACAACACCTCCGCGATGGCACTCGCTTACAATCTGGTCTTCCACACCCGGACCAAGCATATAGAGATCGGTTATCAGTTTATTCGGCACCACATCGAGTCTGAAGCTGTTCTCATTCATCACATAAATTCAGAAGACCAACCTGCTGACATCCTCACCAAGCCCCTCTCCTCCTCCCGTTTCATTCATCTCCGGAACCAGTTGAGCATTCGTTCAACGAACCCTCAACTTGCGGGTGGCTGTGAAGACACGAGTGGTGCACCTCCTGCACACGGTCAGTGAGCCAACCGCACCATATCAGCAAAGGCGTTTTCCACTACTTGTGCACAGTGCTCAGACTGTCACCAACGGCCAGTAACGGCCCGCACTCATTACCTTACCTTTTTACTCTATATATGGTGTAACTAAGGAACTTGAAAATATAATGTGTAAGTTCATTGTTGAGCTTCTTCTTGCTTTCGCTATTTCTCTTTGCTAACCTTTTGCAGGTTCATCACCAACCATGAGCAAAGCAATTATAGGCTAGCAAAACCTAATAAAGCTTAAATACTTTAAGATCAGAACACTTGGATTGCATTAAATAAACATTCTCTTATTGTAGTTATGGGTGCCAATATAAAGAACTCTTATTTGAGATGGAAATTTCTTAAGAAAAGACTTTTTGAAGTTCCCCTGACATCAAATGGTTCAAAAAGTACATTCATGTTTATTTAAAAAAACTAGGGGTTAAAAGAAGATCAAAGACTGTTTGTGATCCTGAACTTCGGTTGGGACCGACTAAAGAGCTATTTTAGTGGCTTCTTAGCAACCTGAGGCTGAATCTGAATTTCAACTGCTGAAGAATCTAGGAGTGAACTGAGCACAGCAACAACCTCAGTTGTCAATGGCCGATGATCCCTCTCTTCTCGAAGGCACATTGCAGCGAGCTGTAACATTTTACTAACTTCTTGTATCTGAAATTCTCCATTCAGTTCTGGATCTGCCATGTCAATTGACTTCTTGGTATCCTTCGCCACGGCCTCCACCTGCTTAATTATTAGTGCATTAGTAGATGGATTCTACATGAGAAATTGAATGAATTAAGCTTTGATAATAGACACAATTCTACCAACCCAAGAAGCTAATTGATGTCCTGTATCTATGCAAATTAATTCAGAAACTCTTCTCCCTGTGATCAGCTCAAGCAACACTATTCCGAAGTTATAAACGTCCAACTTCACTGATACCAGACCCTGTTTAACATACTCTGGTGCATAAAATTTAGCTGTTCCTACCACACTGGTCATGATATGCTTCCTATCGCCCATCGGACCTAGCTTAGCAAGTTCAAAATTTGAGATCTTTGGAGTCAAATCCTCCCCAAGCATGATAGTGGATGTCTGAAGGTCCCGATGAATAACTGGGGGGGAAACCTTGTTGTGAAGGTACTCTAATCCTTTAGCCACACCTAATGCAATTTTAATTCTAGCAGTCCAATCTAATGGCTTGAAGTACGATTTGCTTTTTGCAGAAGAAGACCTGCTGAAAAGATAGTTTTTGAGAGAGTGCAATGCTGCCTTCTCCAACACTAGAAGCCTTTGGTTCTCTACCTGGCAGTAGCCAAGGAGGTTTATAATGTTTTCATGGCGCAGCTTGCTAAGCATTAGTACCTCAACAAGAAAGCCTTTGTGGTTTTGCTCTTTGTCTTCAGTTGGCTTAAATTGTTTTACAGCAACAAGCTAATCGAAAGATAGATGTGTTTGGGGGGTGTCAGTTATTTTTTACTGTAATGGTTATAAAGTGGAAAGAGAAGAAATCGAATGAAGACCTGGTTATTGAGATGGAGCGTTCCTTTGTAAATTTTTGCAAAGCATTGTTCATCTACCAAGAGATCAGGACGGAATTTTTTTGTAGCTGAACAGACTTCGGTGAAAGTGAAGATTTTTGGAGTGTTTTGTTGATAAACTGAAAATTGGATTATGGAAATATCAGTTTTGTGTGTGTAAAACGACCTTCTTTTGAAGGAAACTGAGAGAAATGAAATCAGAATTCAACCATTGAAATTGGTGCACTGGATTGAAAGGAGAAATACCTGATCCGCTGCAATTGCCACCCATGAAATCAGTAAGAGATTGCCAAGCTCTGGAAAGAATTGAAAAATGAATGGGAATGAAAACAGTGAGGAGAGTAGGCGAAAGATAGATGAGCTTTTAAGGCTATTCTTCTCTTCTCCTGTTCTATGAAGAAAGGAGCAGGGGAAGACATTGGCCGACCTTCATTGACTTTGACTCAGGATGTTGAATGGCTCCCAAAGACTTTGGTTGCTTGCTAATGAAGAAGATGATATAAGTGATTTAAAATTATTTTTTATTTTTTTCTCTTATTTTTGATTAATTAAACTAAATTATTTTTCTTTAAATCGTTCTCTTAACTCACATAATATATACAAGCTTTATTCACGTGCATTAAAATGAAAGATTATTAAATTTCACAATAAGTAATTATAATTATTAATATTTATTTACATCTATACAAAGTGCACCTGAATAAACATAAAAAATTTAAAATTAATATTAAAAAATTATAATTACTATCATTTTATTTATTTTTTTAAATAAATATTAGAAAAAACTTTTTTTATAATGAAAATTATTAATGTTCACAAATTAAATATAATATAATATTTAAATTAAACTGTCATTGTTAAATAAATTCAATTTAGATTATCCTGGCAAAATCCCACAATAAAAGGCCATAAGATAAGTGATTGAGTAAACAATGCACAGCAAAATAAATTATGAACAATTTTAAACCACTTCCTTATGATTCTCCCTTTGAAGCCATTTAGCCTCAAAGAAACCATTAACACTAGAAAAAAGAACCCATTAAAATATTTCATAAAAATACTAGAAAATAAATTTTAAATATTTCAAGTCTAAATTTATATCAAGAGCCCATATTCAATCCAGAAATAATTAAAAATTGAAATATTTAGATTTAGTTCGGGACAATTTTCTTATTGTTTCTTAAATCAATTTTTTAATGCAAAAATTAAATTTTTGAACTAAAAAGTTGCTTCAAGAAACAATAAGAAAGCCGTCACAAACTAAATCTTAATTGATAAAAATTTTCTATTCAACTTGAAAATGTGCAAACTTCCACAGGGACTCGCAAAATGTTAGATATAGATGCCATGATATATTATATTTTAGTGTCCAAGCCAAAGTTAGAAGAAGTTTGGCTAGTCATGTAGCTTATCAACGTACAGCTCCTCATGAATATTGCATACGTGCATACAATGCATATAACTTAATTCAACTCATCGCTAAAGGTTTATGGCAATTATTGTAAAATAATAGCTACTTACGTAGTAAAACTGAAGCAATTATTCAAAATTAGATAAATTTAATTAGGTTAAAAGCACAGTAGAAAAATGTTAGTTGACGTTAACAGTTTTTTTGGTTGATTGAAGATACAAAACCTATTCAACCACCGTTTTTTCTCGATATCAAAGGCTTCGTTTGGGACGACTTTTTTACTACTTCGTAAAGCGGCTTTTTAGTACAAATTTTTTATTTTTTGTACTAAAAAGTCACTTTAAGAAGTAGAAAGAAAACTGTCCCAAACGAGGCCAAAGACTGAATAATCCTGCGATGCATTGAAGCTAAAATTTTCAACAATCAATTTAAGAAAAATTATCAGTATTAATATAAATAGAACAGAACAATTTAAATTAAATATAACATGCTAATCTATCATGAATATAGCTAAATCATCAATCAAAATAAACTTATTAAAGTTATTTAATGTTTGGAAAACTCATTAGAGGCGACGATGAAGAAGAAAGCAACGGGTGAGGGCAACGGCGTTTCTTTTCCCCTCTCAAACCCGCTTCGGATGCAGCCTGCGGCCCTTGCAGCTTTAAACCTAAAAAACTGATACGAATAAATTATTGTGAATCTGTGATGTGCCGTTTGCGGCTCTTCTTCTTTTTTTTCTGTCTGCCCGCCTTCTGCTTGCCTAAAAATAAAGCCGCAGTTATTTTTTTACCCAAAAGATACCTAAAAACTGCAGCAATAACTATATTTACTTAGACATAAATAAAAAGTCAGTGGGGGCACATGCCCCAAAGGCCCCCAAGGTAGCTCCGCCGCTGCATGCTTGTGATAGTTTTCCATCCACAACCTGTAAGATAAGAAGAATAAACTTGAATGAGACATCCTTATTCATGATGTATTATGCAATCATAGTTAGGGCTGTCAAAAATAGGTCACGGGTCGGGTTCGGGTCCAACCCGAAATTGACCTAACACTGTTTAACCTGACCCGAACCTGACCCATTTTTGCAAACGGGTTGGTTTTCCAAACCCGAACCCGACCCACTTCGGGTCCGGGTCAACCCAAACCCGACCCGTTTCGGATATATTTTATTAAAATTTTTTTATTTAATTCAATTTATTTAAATCTAAATCAAATTAAGATAAGATTTACTTCAATTAATTTAAAATAAATCAAAATTAATTTAATTTGGGCAACAATGTTATCACTTTTAAAAATATCATTTACTTATTTCATAAAAATTCTTTAAAATCCTCTTAAATTAATTATAAACGGGTCAAATCGGGTCGATTTCGGGTTTTCGGGTCAACCTGAACCCGACCCGGTTTTACAAACGGGTCAAAATCCCTAACCCGACTCGGTTCAGGTTCGGGTTGACCCGAACCCGAAATTTTCGGGTCGGGTTTTCTGGTCGGGTCAAATATTGACAGCTTAGGGTTTAGGACAAATAAATAGCAACCACAAGCAAATTTTTTAGGTTCAGCTCAATGTATCCTTAGTAGTATTTTCAACTAAAGAGGTACTTCTAGTGTTAGTTCCAGTTTAGTTAAAATATTCTAAAGAACTTCTATATTAAATTAACAAATGCACCAAAATAATATATGCATTTCTCTAAACATGTTTAAAAAAAAACTCTTAGAAGCTCAAGTGGCGCAATTTCATAGGCCCCTAGTTGTTTCCAATGGTATTACAACAACAACAACAAGCCTTTATCTCACTATGTGAGGTCGGCTATATGAATCTTTTTTCTCCATTGTGCTCTATTAAGAGTCAAATTCTCATCTAAATCTAATAAAGGCAATGTCATTGCCAGGTCCCAAGTCCTGAATGAGAAAAGTGGAGAGTTGTTTTAGGAAGTCAATAGCCAGTGTAAAACTTATCGAATAATCATAACATGAATCCTTTAAATCATGACATGACATGTTTTCAATGGTATGAAAGTACAAAATAATATATCCCCCCTTTTGACATCACAAAAAAGGAGGAAAAAACCAAAAAAGAAAAATGAAAGCAAAGTTTTTTTTAATCAAAGCATGAAAATGGCAATGTCTCCATGTGATTGATTTTAAAGACTTGTAAGACAAATGAGTTAACATTGTCAAAATTTGAAATTAGTAGAATATCCAATTCTGTTAACTCTAGCTCAAACTTCTCTCAGGACAAAATCGTCATTTAAAAACAAAAGACCTAACTCAAAAAAACTAATTAGATCAAAAAAAAAGAAATTTGTTAAAGACTTGATTTTAGAAAAAATATTTAATAGAATAATATAACAAAGTAATATGTCACAATCGCAAAATTCAAAATCAAGCCTTTGAAAATGTTAAGTGATACATGAATTCTTTTAAGATTTAAAAGTATTGAAAGAGAAGGAAGCTTACCATTTATCGGATCATTTTATGCCTCTTATCAATTGATTGGAGCACTTTATGCATCTTTTAATTTTTGATACACTTTGTGTATAATTCTCAATTTGACGTCATTACGCATCTTTTGATTTCACGTCATTGGCCACTTTTGTTTTTGCAAGTTAGATCCATTTTCAAAACTCTTAAATACTCTCAGTTGTGAGTATAACTTACAGATATTAGAGAAAAAAACTCTCTCTCTAATATAAGGAAGAGCAAATCATAAAATAGAATCAAAATCTTATGATAAATGTAATGACAAGATGATGAGAAAATTTGAAAGTAATATAAAGACTTTAAAAATTATAAATATAAGATAGATTACTGTAGCAATATATAAAAGATCTTAATCGTAAATTCCAGTTGTTAATTTGAGATAAACTTTTATTTAGAAAAGAAAATTATACCACTAAAAGAGGTTATAGAAAGAGAAACAATCAATGGTATTTTCTTTTTAACAGATTAAGAGATATAAAATATTGACTACAAATTTTTAAAAAATAAAAATATGACATAAAATATTATTTCAACAGTGATCACAAAAAAAATTAAAATAATATAAATAAAATAAAGAAGAAATAAACTAGTAAAAAGTAAAACAAGCAAAGTGAAAAAAAATAAAAAAAAACAACAAAATAAAAAATTCATAATTCAGTAAATAATAAGTTCAAGCATTTATATCAACAACACCCAATCTGGTCCTTAAGATGCTAAAAGTGTCAAAAGCCAATGGTTTAGTAAAGATGTCAGTCAATTAATTCTCAGTTGTCACATGGTGTAACTCAATGCCTCCTTTGGTCATATGGTCTCTAATAAAATGATGTCTTATGTAAATGTGTTTGGTTCTTAAATATTGGATAGGATTCTTAGAGATGTATATGACACTAGTGTTATCACAAATGATTGAAATTATGCCTATAGGTAATCCTAAATCTAGAATTTATTGCTTCAACTACAGGACTTAGGCCATATAACTTTTTAAGACAATGTACTCAACTTCAGTAGTGAAAAGTGCAACAGAGTTTTGTTTTCTGCTAGACCAGGAGACTAAAGACTATCCTATGAATTGGCAAGTTCTAGAAGTGCTCTTTCTATCCACCCTACATCCTACAGAATTAGAATTCGAATATTCAATATCTCAAAAGAATTGATGTGCCTAAGATACTAGATTCCTAAGTTTTGGGTCCCCAAAAGATATCTAAGAATTCCCTTAACTACAGCAGGTGAGATTCTTTAGGATTAACTTGAAATCTAGCCCAGAGACAAACACTTAATATTATATCGGGCCGACTAACAGTTAGGTAAAGTAAAGATCTAATTATTCCCCTATACTTCTTTTGATCAACAGATTTTTTATTTGAGTCTTTATCCATCTGAATATTAGAAATCATGGGAGTATTTTATATGCTTGGATTTATCCATTTTTATATTTTTTCAAGATGTCCTTAATGTACTTTGATTGATTTATAAAGGTTCCATCATTTAAATATCTTATGCTAAATCCCAAAAGTAGGATAACTCTTCCATCATATTCATCTCAAACTCCTTAATTATTATTTTAGAAAAAATTATCACATAA